ATCCTCGGTTTTGATTAGCTCGCGGGAAAGATTTACCTTCCAGATTAGCCCCGGCATCGATTTTTCGAAGAGCCGATCGCTGCCGAACGTAAACGGCTCGCTTCTCGCTCCCCTTTCTCACACGGCCGCGATCCATTTCGTCCGTTTCAAAAATAACAATCGCGTTGATTGATTCGGACGTTACGTTAGAATTACGGCTTATCACCGATGTCGTGAACGAATCGAGAAACGAAATTTCGAAACGACATCGAATGATATCGAAAGAATTTCGGACAATTGCGTCGTGGATGATGTATCGGTGTCGTGAGAATTAAGATGCCGCTTCGCAACAAAGTCGCAACGTGGAAGATTTTGAAAGAATATACGAGCGACGCGGCGCCACTGTTCGTGACCGGGGCGATAGGGATTCGCAAAAAGACTTGAGAAAGGAGTTCACCGGCGGCGAATTGGCACGATAAAGCCGAAGGTTTCGTGCGTATCATCATCATTTCCGAAATAAAATATGCGTCCTTCTCTGTCCGGGTGGAGTTGCGTGTCGAAACGATGGCCTCCGAAAGTCCAAAATCCCCGCCGGCGGCTATGCGATCGTGATACGCCTGCTCGCCCGAAATAGATAATTTCCTCGCGAAAGATACAGTTCGCGCGGGTCTGTCTAATTTTATAAATTCGCGACTGGCCGGCGAACGCAACGCGCAGCAAATCGACGTTTCCTTCTCGATCGACCATGAAGGAATATGTCGAGGAATAGCTCGACGGAAGATGAAAAAGCAGGAATGAAATTTGCGACAAGGACGAGGCGGATCGCGATGACGTTGTCGAAGAGGGAATACGGCGGACGACGAAGCAAGGAAGAGCACGCGAAAGGAGTAAAAAAGACGGTGGGGCAGCGACGGCGGAGAAGCAGCGGGGACGAAGATGCGAGACAACCGACTACAAACCACGAAGAGTGTAAATAATACTAAGGCTGATTGTGGGCGTGGCTGACAGAACTCTAAAAACCTTCGACTATATATCAAAAGGTTTACTGCCCTCGGATGATGTTCGTATCCGGAGAAGACCTTAGAAGAGCAAATACTGAACTGCTCTTTCGCGAGGAGACGCGTGGTAGGCAGCCAGTCGAAAAAGGCTCATGTGATGAAGGGATGAAATCGGGATTGCACTTCGGAATAGAAACTGCACGTCCAAGAGTTGGTCGACTCTTATCGTCGCGCACGACGCTTCGCAAGAATGACCGACCATATCTTATGACTGTCCATCCTACTTCCGTTCGCTCGTAAGATAACAACGTTTCAATATCGTAGGATACCAGAAACCTTTCGTCCTTTCTTTCTGGTAACGAACGATTTCGCCTTTGCTCCGATCTCTTTGCTCTATTACCGATCGACAGAATCAGTCGATTAAGACGACACGGAGGAAACGCATTGAAAGAAACCACGGCGGAACGTTGTCTCGCACGATGGACTCGTGCGAGACAGCTACATCTACATCTCAATACGGGCAAGCGATTAAGAAGAATGGGTGTGGTGAAAGAGGAAAGCGAGGAAAGAGGATCAGGGAATGAAGGAGGAGCGAGAAGGAGGTATACATAGTCATGGCATCCATTCTCTTCTCGGTTGTTTCCAGACTGGACGCAGGGAGCTACCTCGATGGCTGCCCGCCTGCCTGTCTGCCTGCCTGTTCGCCTGCTCGCCTGTTCGCTCGGCTGGCTAGCTGCTTGCCTGCCCGCTTGCCTGCTAGCCCGGCTTCGAGTCTCTCGATTACTTGAAAAACCGGATTCCTCCTGCGCGAAACTGTGTTTCCCGTCTCGTGTTTATGTACCAATACACGCCGCTGGAACAATGTTGGATGGGATGCACGTGCACGGGGGTCCGGCTAACGGCGCGTACGCGAGAATTCAGCTTCCGACTTGGATCGGAAATCGACGACATTGACAGGGAATGCCCGGAGGAATGAATTGGACGACGCCGTCGAGTGAAAGAAGAATACGTACAATGAAGAAAGAGGTGAAGAAGAAGCGAAGAAGTGCTGGCGCGGAAGGTGCTTAAAGGGCCACGATGTCATCGGCCGTAGCCTCGAGGGTCGGTGTTCGAGGGTTAAATCCAAGGGTTTTGAGGGAGTCGGTGTCGAGGGTAAACATATACATACGTAAGCGCAAATAACGCGTGTTAACGGAGACTGTGGTCGAGCATCGGCAGTGGAAGACAGGGAGAAAGGGAGTTGGTCGATTTCTTCGTCGTTTGGTAAGAACAATGACGGGAAGCCGAGCATTCGCGGACAAAGGGCAAATTTTCCGAATAATTTCACGATACCTCGTCTCAGTGATCGCTCGAGCAAAGGGAGGACGAACGGTTTGTTGATCCGTGCGGTCACCGTCAGCGGTCAAAAAAAAAAAAAGAAAAAAAGAAAAAAAGAAAAGAAAACTACAAAGGGAAAGAAAGTTGGGACCGTGTGCGTTCGAAGCCCGAGATAGTCACAGGGAGTATCGATGATGCGGGACGTTTCCTCTGCCGAGGAAATAGACAGCGAGGAACTCGGTAAATTTTCGTCGAGCTTAGCAGAAGATCGAAAGAACGATAGCGACGGGAGGAGAGTATAGCCGGCCGTGATCGCTACGCATAACAAATTCCACCTGTGCAGACGGCTCGCCTTCCATTCATCTGTCCGTCGCGGAGGGCCGCGCTGGAAGAAAGAACAGACGTGACGAGGTCGCGATGAAGAGGGATACCGGGCACTCGTTTAGCTTGGCAATTTATTCTCGCGTTTTGTAATTAACACCAGAAAAGAAGTAGCGCAGTCGTCCTTCTCCTACGGGCACGAGACGCGCGGCACGAGGGTAGAGGTGACTACTCGCCTCCCTTCGCCTTTGCCTTTGCCTTCCTCTTCCTCGGACCGCCAAGTCCGACTGCTGATTTCACTTCTCCGCCTTCGTTTCCACGTGAACAGAGCGTTACACATGCGAAGAAAACACGTGTATCGTGATTAAGCGGCGTGCAAGTCAAAGTCCGAAGAGTAGCGTCTGCTTTCGGTGGATCTCTCGGCCCGTGGGATGAGAAACACCGTGCGTAGATGAACGAAGCAAAGAAGGAGGATAAATGGTAACGAGAGAAAAAGCGAGATCCGCAGATACGGAGGGGATTACGATCGGGAGGAGAAAGATAAAGCGAAAGAAGGACAAGCGGGAGAGAATGCATGCGGTCAGAGAAGGGCCAAGGAAGAACGAGGGAGAAGAGAGAAATTGAACAAAGTGGAAGAGAACGAGAGGATCAGCGAAGAAAGGGAGAGGAGAAGGCGGACGAGTATGAGGAGGAGAAGGTGGAGGATGATGGAGGCCTCTCCTCCGCATGCCACTGCAGTCAGGCCAGACAGAAAGCGGTCTGTATAATTATGGGTTGTCACCTCATCAGCCATGAGAGGGGCAAAGAGGTGGCGGTATACGTCCGCGCGCGGATCCAGGGGTGGGAAGTTATAGGAGCGCAATCTTTTGCTCAAATTGTGTTTTATCGTCCCTCGCGTTCCGCTCCGGCTGATCGTCGCGGCGGCCACCGCGATCGAGTTGGCAGGTTCGTCTCTTTCCTCTTCGCTGTCAAGGAAGGGAAAATTTTTGGAAAATCATCCGCTGTTGAATCACGCGATGGTAAAATCCCGGTGTTCGGAGTGAACAGTACGAACAGTGCGAGAACCGGTGCATCAGATTTTGGTAAAGGTGGTCGTGGCGTTACGACGTCGAACATACCGCGATCGACAAATAGCCGTTGTCGAAGTTACAAAATCGGAGAACGGGCGTTTTAAGTATCTTGGGTGATCGGAACGTGCCACGACGCTCTCGCTCCCTCCAACCATTCCCTTCGTTCACGGCCCTTTCCTCTCCCTGCCGCATATCCTGCTTGCCAGCCCTGCTCCCCCGATCCTTTTTTGTTTCTCGCTCTCCCTTTTGATCGTTTTCTCGCTCTCCGCCCGCTCGCATCCTCCATATAGCTACTTCTCCGTCTCTATTCCCCCGTGACGCGGCGCCGTTCGGTTTCGTTCTCTTTCGTTGGTACACACGTACCAATCTACGAAAGAGCGCGTACACACGGAGGAGGGAAAATAAAAAGAGGGGTACTGCGCGAGAAGGTACTGAGGCTAAGTGGAGAGTTTAGAGGGATTTCATTAAATCATATGGATTGGGGATAATGCATGTTATTGAGCGGAGCGTTCAAATCGCGCTCTATAAGTTGTAATAAGTCCAATTTTAGGGCCGGTCATGGGCCGGGTCCCACAGTGGTTGTCAAACGATTCGCTGGCGTTTCGCTGGCAATCGCGAGCCGAACGACTATTCATGGCAATCGACAGTCACTGTCTAGCGAACCCGCCACTTACTCGTCAAACGGCCAGCCGGTCCGCCGAAATCACTGCCATTTAGATAATTTGTAATGAATAGGCACCGCTCATTTTCTACCCCTTCCATCGAGGCCGCCTTCTTCTCCCCTTTCTGCCTGGCCGCCGCTCCCTCACCCTTTCTCTCTATCTTTCTGCTTCTCGGTCTTGCTTTCCGTTGCACCGTATAACCTTTCTGCTCTGTCCTCTTTTCGCTTCCCCCCTCTCGACGAATCCTCAGGATCTCGGTCTCGCAATAGCATCATCTTCGACGTCATCTTTGCACGACTGGAATCCCAAAATGGACCTCTCGATAATCGTCGGGCCTCGAACAAAGTTCGTACAAAGTTGCTGTTACTTCGCGCCTTGCGAATCAACCGACTTTACTGACGGCACAAGTTTACACGCCGATACGATGTGGTCACCGCGAATCGTCCCCTAAACGAGATCGTGCCGCGTGCTGGTTGACGAAGATATACGGTCCGTTTGGAAACACAGAATCCTGCCCGGTGAATCCCCCGGCAAATATACACACGGTATTTGCGGGGATATCGGCAGACATCTCTCGTCCGTCGTAGGCTCTCTCTGTCTCTCTATCTCTGTTTAAAGCGGTTTGCTCGCTTCTCGTTTCAGATGTACCGAGGATGGAGAAGTCGCCACTGCTAGCAAACGGCTACAATCACCCGCCAACGCATCTGAGTCACATGCAATTCATGCAACTGGGTGGACATCCAGGTGCAGGGCACACTGCCATCCTATCGCCTGCTAGTCTGCCGCATCACCTGCAGGCGCAGGCTCAGGCGCGCGCCGAACAGGGCCTCAAAGTCAACCCCAACATGTCGAACATGGAGGCGCTCGCGAGGTAAGCTCTTCGAAACGTTCGTAAAATTGGTCCGTGCGGTTCAAATCGTGGATATGGCGAATAAATGAAACTGCGAGCGAAGCTGTAGCGACGATAGGGAAACTAATCCAAAATGTGACAGTTGGAATCTCGTGCGAAACGATAGACTAGTTTTTCGGAGGTTCGACTCGCGTTCATTGGGATCGGAAGCGTTCGTCTTGTCCCGGTATAGTTGTAACGAAGGGCCAGCGAGGCCAAAAGAATACAACTTTAAGAGGATTTGAAGAGACGGCGAAGCCGTGGAAATCCGAGGGGTCTCGACACTGCTTGATCTTTCCTTCCCTCTTTCACCTCCTCCGTCTCTCGGTGGCGGTCTCCGTTCGAAGTCCGTTTCCTTGGCTGCGCCGCGTTCCTTCTAGGTCGTTTACTCGGCTTGCGTTACACTCGCGACCTCAACCGAGTCATCCTTCTTTCCTCTGCTTGTCGTACGTGTCTGTCGACGATCGACGCCAAACTAACCAAAGTTTCACCGTTTTTCCACTTTGTGTGAAATTCCATGAATTCATCTGCAGCGTTCTGTCTCGTTTAAGAGCACAAGATCGAGAAGAGTGAGAGCGGATAAATCCTCGACGCGTTGCGGTCCTGAGACGTATATCGCGGATTACGCGAGCTCGTTTAGTCGTTCTTGCGTGGGAGACACGAATAGGGAGAAACGAAGACGCGCGAGGATGCAGTCTGTTGGAGGAAGATTCTCCTTGCAGAAAGAGAGAGAGAGAGAGAGAGGGAGGGAGGATAGTCTCTGAGCTAATCTAGGCATTTGTTAACGCGTTTCTAATAGATACCGTTGGTAGTGCTCCCTGTTCTCCCGCCTTCGTGAAACTCCGTCTCAGCCACAGGGGCTTTCGAAGATACGGAGACTCGCCTTAATTTTCGATTACATCCGCCAACCGTAATTAGCCTCGCTCTATTCGCTATTAACCGGTTCAGTTCGCTTCTTCGTCTTGCATTCGCGTCCCTCGGCTCGATTCGCGGCGACTCGAGATGTAATACTATTTCAATCCGATCGAATGGAAACGTTGGAATCGTGAAAAGAAAGGAGTTGTGTCGATTCGTCTTGAGCGGAGGGGTGGCCAGTGTCGGTTAGAGTAAAGTCGTGTCCTTCCGAGGCTACGCGCCTACGTGTATAATGACGCGACGAAGGCGGCGCCGCACGTTTCGCATTATGATTTCAGCGCTTTGCTTTTAATTAAAATGCAAATCTATCGTGGCAGAGGAGCGAGAGAGATCGGGAGGTAAGACGGATTACGTCTGGGGGCGGCACGACAAACACCGGAATATGATTAATTCAACGCAACCCCATCCTGGCGTACCGTGCCGTCAGCGCGCCGTTGCCCTCTATCGCCACCCTCTAATTCAGCCCCGAGCCCTTCCTGCTCGCCACAACGCTCGACCGGTTTACGCGAGCCGCAGGCCGCCTTTCGCGACAACAACTTACTTCCGATCCAGACGTCCTCCGCGCCAACAAATCGTTCGAGCTTAGTTTGCGACCGGCTCGTTCTTCGGTCCGCTCCTCTTCGTTTTTTCGTTCGAATTCACCGGAGTCACTTGGTGTTTCTTCGAAGTATATATTCAACCCCGGTCGATACACCGGGTAAATTAGCCGAAACTTGGGGACCAACGACGTCTTTTTTAATCAACGACTTCAAAGAGTCTCCGTTTCGGGCGCGGGACAGACACGATCGAATCAAAGGACAAACGAAAGATGAGACTGCACGAGGAGGACTCTTAATCAACTCCGCGGATCCACTTTCCTCGAGGAGATACCGTGGCAGGCTTATAATTAACCGATTCGCTTATCAACCCGTGTCCCTCGTTCCTCTAACGTTCTTCTAACCTCGGCATTCCTTGTTTCCACGTTATTTTCCTTTCTCGCGATGACTCGGTCTTTCCTGTTTTGTGTTTCACCGTCGTATCTCAAGTGTCGTTTTTTTTTTGTGATCCACAGGTCCGGGACGGTTTGGGAAAACTGCCGAGCTGCCTACGAAGATATTGTCAAACATCTCGAAAGGTAGGAAATTATTCAAAGCGTACCTGAATGAAAGAACAGAAAAAAGAAAAAAAAAGAAGGAAAAGAACAAAGAGAAAATAGCATCGAAAGCTCGACTATGGCGTTTCGCACCATAAGTAACAAGTTGGGTGGGAGATCGCCGTGTCTCGGTGCTGCGTGTCGCGTTTGTTCCGCAGCGAGCCGAGAAAAATGAGCCGCGAGACGCGGGAAACGTAGGCTGGTGCAACACGCGACCGTTTCGCGTCCGATAAATCAGCATTACCGTCGGCATCGAGTTTCCGGTCGCGCGACAGGTTGAGTCCAGGCGTGACGCTGTAATGCCTGCATGATTTGTACGGTGCGAGCGTCCGCACCCTCCTTCCCACCGTCCTCAAATCCATCCGCCGGCAGCCCGGTCCCGTCACCGATACGACACCAACGTCGACCACCGGCGACCACCCTCGGTATCCGCCGCACCGCACCGCGCACATCGACCATCGCGCGCCATCAGCTACCACCGTCATCCGCCACCGAGGTTTCCCCGTGATCCTAACCACTTGTCACTTCACGGCACGCAGATCATCGTCACGACGTGCCCGTCCATCATTCGGGGATTAAATCATTCAACTGGCTGTGCGAAATACTCGCGCGTCCCGCGTTACCCAACAGCCTCGTTGTTCCTTTTACGCTACCGGGGCAGCTTTAGCCGCGTGAAACCGGCTCTCTGCCGTTTCGCGAGGGTATAAAGTGAAACTTTCCACCCCTACGAGTGGTGGTGGTAGTGGTGGTCGGGTGTCTCCGCGAGACCCTAGTTTCCTTTGTCTGTTTCCTGGTCTCTGCTATGTTGTTGGTTGATCGAGGCGAAAAGAAAGGAAGACAGGAGGAGAAAGGCACGGACCCCAGGCTCGAACCGTTAATACGGGAGTGAAAATCGACACTTGACCGACCGAAACGTAATTTCCAATTCAAAGGCAATGACCATTGGCTCGCTTCTCTCCGCGGTTCCCTTCGCTTCCCTCGGCCTCTCGCACGCGTCACCCCCGCGATCAAC